TAGTACAGCCAAGAAAATAGGGGTCCCTCTCCCCACAGCTACCAGAGGGCTATTTTCCCAGGATAGGCAGGAAATCAGTATTTCTTAATACTGTCTCTAGCTACTGTTGCTGAGGCTAAGTTCCTGGTGAGTACCCGCAAAAGATGGAGGCTCCCTTCTTCTACCCAGACCCCATTCATGGGATAGAGGCTCTACCCTGGTTGCTACACCACTGAGAATACCTGGGCCCTGATCACCTTACTTTGGCTTGTACAATGGTGATTCTACCACTGGAAGAAGCCAGTGGAGAAGACCTAAGGCTACTGCCCTACCTCTACCTACAGTTTAGCACCTGAAGCAGGGGTATCTCTCAGAGACATGAGTGCCATTGTCCCTACTCCCAGCTCCAGAGCCAGGGCTTCAAAATTCTGTCTTGAGAGAAGAACCTGGCCATGAAACAGATAGCTCCTAAATTCTTCCCAAAAGAACTGACTTCATTTGCAAGAGAGTATAGAGAAGCTCATGCTTAAAGGCATTCTCAAAACCAGTGTAAGTATGGTAAAATAAATAATTGGGAGGTGATTGGTAGATTCATTGGAGGTATAAGCTAAACTGTATACTGGCTAGTTTGCAGGAGAGAATTGGAGAAAAAGACAGCTGGGAGGAGCTGGAATCAGAACAAATCTTAAACATTGACCTTCTGCACTACCCTCTCAAAGGAGCCTGAATTTGATTGGATTAGTCTGAAGAGCAAGTTATGCCCCAGGGCATTGTTGAAGACAATAGAGCAATCATTCAGAAATTAGTGGAGTTTAACAGTTGGGTGTGGTCTAAGAACAAAGACAGAGAAAGAGAACCCTGCCCAAACCACTGTCATCCCAGGATGACTGTGAACATGCTCAAGTCTGCAACCTCAGCACCAACATCAGAGATTTAGCACTGCATGGAGGAAATAAGCTTCACTAATATAATCCAGCCAGCAACAAAAAAAAAAACAAAATAATAACAAGCTCTGGAAGAGCTGAGGGGAGGAAAACAGGTACCCAGAGTTCAATTATCTAGTTAGAAAATAAACTTGACAAACACAAAGGAATGACCATTAAAACACTACCCCTAGGTGAAAGGATCCAAACAATCCATCCAGGGATCCAATCAATCCATCCTTAAGCATTTGTCCACTGCAGAGAATCCAGAAGTTGTTGAAGACCTGAGTACCATACTCAGAAGATTAGAAGATTTATACTCAGACATTCAAACAAATAAGAATATCAGAAATTGCTTTAAAAATATTTGCTGTGTTAATAATGATGATCAAGCCCCAGTGGGAAATTTAAAGTAAACAGTGACAAGTTCATTCAGCAGTATTGAGCATCAAATACACTGTCCTCTGCCAAATGTGGATTGAAGTAACAGAATTTAATTTTCCACAAACTTTTGCAATTATTTTTCTCTCTTCCTCATTCAATTTTTTTTAACTTTTTAT